TCCATGGGATTCTCCAGGCAAGAATCCTGGAGTGGATTGCCATGCCCTCCTCCAGGGGATCTTCCTGACCCAGGGATTGAACCTATGTCTCCTGCACCTCCTGCACTGGCAGGCAGGTTCTTTACCACTAAGCCACCAGGGAAGCCCCACTAAGGAACACAGGAAGATTTTGTTCTCAGCGGATGGGGCATCCAACAGTGGCTTTGAGATTGAAATGAGTGAACAGCTGCTGTTTTGCTGGGTACCTGTCATATACCAGGAAATACTTTGTTGTTTTATGAATATAATTTTCTAGTCTTCACAACAAATTAGATATATCTTTTCAGGTGGGGAATCTGAGGCTCAGAGAGCTTAGGTAACTTGCTGCTCAAGATTATACATTCTTCAATTAAGCAAATAGCATGGAAGAGCAATAGGGTTTTTAAAATATTAATTTCAGAACAAACCATTAAAGAATAGAAATGATGAGATCTGAATGTCAATTAGGAAGTCAATTTAGGCAGTCATGGTTTAAAAAGAAAGGAGATTAGGAATATTGAAAAAGGAATTTGTGTTCAAAGTGAGGCTGTTCAAGATTTGAGTAAGATTTCTTAATACAGGTTTATTCTAGAATGACATACATTTAAAAATAATAAATGATGTGGATTCTGTGTTTTACAGTTACTTGATGACTATATTACACGAGAGACAGTGCAGCATAATAATTAAGTTCTCAGGCTCTAAGCCATACTGCCTGGTTTTGAATCTTAGCCCCAATTTACTGAACCTTGGGCAGATTATTTAACCTTTCTGGGCCCTAGTTTCCTCATATTTAAAAAAAAAAAAAAGAGGGCTTCCCAGGTGGCGCTAGTGGTAAAAAATCTGCTTGCCAATGCAGAAGACTTAAGAGACGTGGATTTTATCCCTGGGTTGGCAAGAATCCCCTGGAGGAGGGCATGGCAACCCACTCCAGTATTCTTGCCTGGAGAATCCCATGGACAGAGAAGCCTGGCGGGCTACAGTCCATAGGGTCGCAAAGAGTTGGATATGACTGAAGTGACTTAGCATGCACACATGCACTTATATCATAGGGTTGTTTAAACATGAAGTATATGAGCATATAAAGTAGTGTTTGGTATAAAGTAGGAACAAGCTAGCACTGCTTTGTGCCTTTGTTCATATTCACCAGTTTGTTTAAAAATTATCTGCAGTTTGCCAAGCACTGTGCTTGTTTTCAGGGATGCAAATAGGGAAGAACCTCTGTTTCCTATTACAAGTTAATCACTAAAGAGATGTTGCCTCTAAGCTTAAATTACATATAATGGCCAATATCTGGGATGACCATTACCCTGCCTTGCAGGTAATGATTGGTAAGCTAAAATACCTTTGTTTAGTTCACAGGAAACATCCTGACCAGGCCCACCTGTGAATGACTGCAGGAAGGAAGAAATTAACACATTTGGCTGACCAGAAGGAGGAAATGTTTGACTTTATTCCCTCCCTTTTTAGTATAAAAGAGGTCTGAATTCTAACTCAGGAAAGATGATTCTTTGAGACATGAGTCCACTAACTTCTCAGTCTGCTGGTTTCATGAATGAAGCATTACTCCTCACCCCAAAAACTTGTCTCTTGATTTATTGCCCTGTTGTATGTGCAGTAAGCAGTAAGAGCTTGGATTTGGCAACACACAGATGGATAACAGGTGACTTCAGCTAACAGATGGATAACATTTGATTTTTCCAAAATCCTATTCTGTGGTTCAGCAGAAGTACTAGGACTACATCTTGATCAAATCACTTTCCTCAACTCTGGGAACCAGTGATTTAAAATCTCTATTCATAAAGTTGCCCATGAGTGTTAGGACGAATAATTTCACTCCTCCTACTTCCTCCTTCAATATGACATTAAGATATGTTGAGCCTGAGTTGTCTTTTATGACGGGTGTTCCCCTTGACCTACTAGGCAGTATTATGAAGTTAGTGAGATGATTTCAGTAGTCTCTACCCACTTATGTGTACCAAACTCTCAGAAGCTGAGTGTTTGCATCACTGCCTCAGGAGTTGCTTCCTTGCTAATTCATTAGACTTCTGTGTGATGCAGTATGTATTATTAATGGATGTATTTCTCTTCCCAAGAGTATTTTTTTAAATATAACTTTATAAAGCCTCATTTCCACAAACTAGAGAGAAATATGAAGGACTAGAATTTTCAGTGCCATACTAAACTAAGGGAGATGTGAGAATACAAGCGATACAGTGCAAGTTAAACCGTACCATAAAGCTACTCATCCCTGTGTCTCCTAATTTTAGATTATGAAGGAATCCAAGTCATTCTGCTCATGACCTCATTTCATATAGTCTGAAAGCACGCTCATTTAGACACTGCAGGTTTGACATTGCCATTGGTTCAATAGGTGAAAATCTGTCCGTAGAAGGGACACCATGTCCTTATGAGTGTACCCACAATACATTAAAATAGAGGAGCAGTCATCATGACCTCTGAGAAAAGACTGAAAAGGAAAATGTCTACATAAATGAGAAGGAAATGAAAAGAGCGAGGCATTCACATTTAACACAACCAAGTGATGTGCCAAAATGATTAAGTAAAAAGCTTCTTTAATATCCAGGAAGCCCTTTAGAGTGAGAGAGATTGTTGGGACAATGGTAAATTGTTTATCTGTCAAAAAAAAAAAAAAAAAAACCACAGACATTGGAATCCTCCTCACTTTGCTTTCCAATATATTCAGTATTTATTATGGGATTATGGGACAATGGGAAATGCTCAGACCATAAGGGATCTTCAAGCAGAAAAAAACTATTACTGAAAGACAGTGATGAGATCCATAATAAAATAAATCTGAAACTCGAGATTCAAATGTGAATGCAGGAATGAGGCTGAACTCTAAAAAGAAGTTCTTATACTGGGTGTAGAGAAGTTTGTGAAATGTGAATATTAGTAAAGTAAAACTCATTTCTGGTGTATAGCTGAGAATTAAAAAATCTCACTATAAATTTGATATACACAATGGAAATATTGACAAAGGCTCTGTTAACACCAACAAATTAATACTATAATATTGTATAGCTTAGAATGTGCTATGTAATATGTATATATGAAATACATATATGGTTTTAAACTTATTGGGCTTGATGTTTTCTAGCATAAAAATATCTAGTTTTACATTTAACTTAAAATTTTTTTTTCCTGAGAATCACTTATTTTCCTTGAGTGAAGCAAGTAATCCCTATTCACTGTTCTTCCAATAATTTTGGAAGAAATTAAGCATTGACAAGTCAGTTAGGACCTAACCAAGAAAAGAGAATACAGTCTAAACATTTTTAAAATAAATGGAATTTAATCCAGGAAAATGGCTACATAGATGAGGGAAGGATTGAGAAGCTAAACTGAGGATAATAAATCAACCTGGAAATTAGTAGCAGCAGAATGTCACAGGTATCAGCACCCATAGGTCTCAAGGGACAGAGAGAAGAAGTGATGTTGTGTGTTCACTCAGTTGCTTAGTCATGTCTGACTCTTTGCAACCCCATGAACTATAGCCCACCAGGCTCCTCTGTCTATGGAAGTTCCCAGGCAAGAAAACTGGAGTGGGTTGCCATTTCCTTCTCCAGGGGATCATCCCAAGCCAGGGATTGAACCCAAGTCTCCTCTGGCTCCTGCAGCAGCTCAGAGTTCAAGGTCATCGGGAAAAACTAGAGGCAACAAAAGATGGGTCTGAAAGCTGGAAAAGAGCTTCTAGGAGTCAGCCCCCAAAGAACCAGCAGAATACGAGCAGGGCATGGGATGGATGTGAAGCTGAAAACAGGCGTAGACTGGAACAATGGAACGTAGAGAGTGAAGTAAGTTAATAAGTTTTCTATTTTCATTTTCTCCTCCAGAGTAATGTTACACTAGGCAAATTGATTTACTGATACTTTTTAAGGGCATTAAGTTTAGCTCCTGGGAACCGCATTCAATAAACATCTTGTAAATAAATGAAATCACCATTTTAGTTCCACATATGACCTCGATAAACCAAATTTACACACCCTTAAATGATGAGACAATAACCCACCTTCTCTTTGAAGTTTAATAAAATGTATAAAGGAGGCACTGCTGTCTTTTTGGATTAGATTCAGACAGTGGTCAATGCTCTGTTAGTGGCATTGTTTTATTCAGAACTGTGAACAGACGTACATTCTGATGTTCTGGAAATCCCCATTCTTTATAATGAAACCACACTTTCAAAACAGGATCAGGAGGAGGTGGAAAATGCCACACACAATTTCCTCAACAAGACCACCACTCAATTCTTCTCTTTATCTCCATTCTGCTGCAAAACTGACAGTGTGTTTTGCAGACTAATAGTAAGGCACCAATTTGTATGAGCACATCTTTTGTAACGTGGAAGGGTAATTATGTTTGGTGGTGGTATAAAAATATTTATCCATCCATCTCAGGGCCAGGCAAAACAAAGTTTAATGTGAGCACATGGGCATGCTTAATTGTACTCTGAAGTTTGAAGACCACACCTAACTTAAATCCTGCCCAACTTTAATTTAAGCAATATGAGATCTCCCTGTGAGCAGCCTCTGAATTGTAAGCCTTATCTCAGACTCAGACTTGTAATGATTAAACTGTCATTACCACCATCAAATTCTTTTCTCATTTACGTCATTAAAACTTAGTCTTGTCTCACTTTGGCTTATTACTCTGATATTAAACACTATTATATATTAAAAAATAGATGGCCTGTAGAATAAAATGAAGCATTATTGCATTTGCTTAATAAAAATCAGGAAGAAATGTCAAGGTCATTTCTGTGCCTCACACCTTGTCATTCAGATGTCTTCTGCTAATAAAAAAAAATGTCAACAAAAGGCATGGAAACTAAGTCTTTCACTCTGTAGCACCCACTAAAAGTATAAAATGCTGGCCATAATGAACCCCATTTTCTTCTCACGCAAAGAAAAGAAACACCTTAAAGGGAAATAGTTCAAAGTCCATCTTACAGACTCACTCACCTAAAATTCAATGAAGAAACAGCATGAACTTTCCAAAACCATCTATCTTCTTTTCTTTGAAACGGCAGTAGATTCTGGCATTTAAAGACTTTCCAAGCGTTTCATCCAGGGACATGTAAATCTCACTTATCTGCAATGAGAAAACACACTTTTATTTAGCTAAGTAACTCACACTTACATGTTTATTACAGAAACAGAATGAGCAGATCTAGAACATATGGTGTTTTACAAATCCCTTCATCCACTAAGAATGACTCGTAATACTCAACTCAGAATTTTGGTTCTCAATTACTATGATAAATGTTTCAAAAAATAGACACTTATGCCAAACGTCATTTTACAGATGAAGATGGGAAGGTTCAGAGGGTAAAGTGAGCGTCCAAGATCAAGCAGCTGGTTAGTAACAGAGTGGGCTTCCCTGGTGACCCCTGCCTGCCAATTCAGGAGACACAGATTCCATCCCTGGGTCGGAACATTCCCTGGAGAAGGAACTGACAACCCACGCCAGTATTCTTGCCTGGGAAAGCCCATGGACAGAGGAGCCTGGCGGGCTACGGTCCATGGGTCATAAAGAGTTGGTCATGGCTTAGTGACTGGGCACAAGCACTCAGTAACAGAGTAGCCTTGAACCTCGGGCTCCTAATATTGCCTTTTGTTTTTGGTTTATTAAAAACCCAGAAAGGGAAACACAGAGAATCTTCTGCGTTTCCCGAGTTGCTAATTTTCTGGAATACTATGTCACCACAATTCCTACTAAAACCAAGGAAACCAGAGCTGAGGGCAGAGTGCTCAGACCAGCATCCACTCTGATGGGAGATGCAGGCGTAGCTATCGCAGAGGCACCCTGATGCTCCCGACTGATCCACATGCTTTATGATGTAGCATAGCAATGACATAAAGAGTAAATATTTCAGAATATGGTCTGTTGGTGTCTCTTAGCAAAGCAGAATGATTTTTATCATCTTGCTTTCTGAGAAAATTCACAGAGGAGAAGAGAAAGAGAAGCTCCAGGTCAAACTCAGCAATTTGCCCAAGAGTCCCTGCCCTGCTGGAAGAAAGTGACCGGATGCTTTACCCATCACCTCCCTTCAGCTAGTCTTTCCCACCTTTCTGTCTCTCCCCCCACGCCCGCCACCTTTCCCACTTCCTTTGTCTCACCAGCACACAAACTGGATGTTACTATTCCACGTCCTAGGTGGCTTGAAGGAGGAAATCCCATGTTCAGATGAAGGAAAAGATGGGGAGAAGGGAGATCACAGCAAATGAAGCAGAGAAGGTCTCTGATGGCAGAGGAGCTGGGAAAGGAAAGGAAAGGAGCACCGTGCACCCTGCACCCTGGCTGGGGGGAGTGGCCTCTGTCTCCAGCCCCATCCTTCACTTTCCTTCCAAACTCTCTTCTCTGGGCCAGGTTATCTAAAATGACAGCAATCATTACATTGCTCAGATAGAGAGGCCGTGTGAAAGGACCCACTGGCAGGCTCAGGTTTCACACCTTAACTGGGATCTGTGACTTCGATGGAAGTTGCTGTTTGGATGACATCTTGATTATGAGCGAGCTTGGCTTTTGCTGTTCCTTCTCTACCAGGAAGGGGTCTCCATCTCAGCCTGCATCTCAGAGGCAGTGACGGAAACCAGTTGTCTGGTAGGCAGCTCCATCCCTACTGCTCTTGGCTTCTATCCCCCAAGACCACTTCCCAGGACCCAGAACTGATTATCAATTCTTTCTAGTCTTGATCCTGAGGGTTCCTGCCTCCCAAACTGCCACCGAATGAAAGGCATCAACACTCCCCTGTCTTCTCCCTGCAGCCTGGTGGACACTCATAGCAAAATCTCATGTGAGCCTTGATTAGGAAGACAAAATAGTACCTTTCTCACTTTAAATTCTCATTTAATTCTATATTAGCTATCAAATTCCAGTTTGACCATGTGACTGGAGGTTAAAATTAGCATCATGGGATAAAACAGAGTTCTATCTCCTTCATCTAGCTCCCTGAAGACAATCAGTATGTGGCTTGGAAGAGAAAGAAGTACAGCAAGTCCCTATGTACATCCACTCCTGGGCATACACACCGAGGAAACCGATCTGAAAGAGACATAAAAAAAACAAAGGAGTTCTGTTCTGACAGCATGTTCATAAATCCAACAAAGTTAGCCTAGGTTACCAACTAACACAACCAGCTACATAGTGCTATGCTGTGCTTAGTTACTCAGTTGCGGCCGACTCTTTGCGACCCCATGGACTGTAGCCCACCAGGCTCCTCTGTCCATGAGATTTTCCAGACAAGAATACTGGGGTGAGTAGCCACTTCTGCAGGGGATCTTCCCAACCCATGGATCAAACCTGCATGTCTTGTGTCTCTTGCATTGGCAGGCAGATTCTTTACCACTGAGCCACCTAGGAAGCCTGTTACCATACACAACTGCTATAATTTTTCTTCTCTATAAGAATATGTGCAACTTGTGGGCAGGGACAGTCTTGTTTATTTCTTCATCATCTTTAGCATCTGTTCAGTTAAGGGTGGAACAACTAGCAGGTATGAAGTTCAATGTTTTCCCAATTGTTCCTACACAGACTTGTGGTATAAATGTAATTAGATCATTTCACCAGATTATTTGTTACTGGTCTAAGAACATTAAAGTGGCTTAGGAAGCTACAGTAAAGTGGATTTGGGATTGTGGCCCATGGACTAAATTCAGAATCACCTCGGACACAAGGCTAGTAGATGACAGTCAGGGAGGAGCCTGTGGATATGGGCCTTTCTGGATGCCTTAAAGCTGGAGACAGCATTAGTGCTCAGGGATGGATACTCATGCACCCTCTCTGTTCCAAGGATTTGTTCTTGTTGACACATAGTTCAGCCTGAGAACTGGGAAGATTTTGGATGTCTGCACGTATTTCCTATTAAGGGCACAGATTGCTGCTTCAAGCTCTGAGGATAAAGAGGCTGTAGCACTGGGTCAGCCTAGTCATTCTGATCTCGTGTAGCCCCATCACAGAAGGGCAAAACCCCAGCAGAGATTCTGGTCCCCAAGGAAATTACCTTTGAGACTGGCTGTATCTGCTTGTTGCTGTGCAGATACTTCATTTCTAAGAAGTTTTGAAGTCTTTCTTTTTTTTTTTTTTTATTGGGGTATAATTGCTTTACAATATTGTTGGTTTCTGCCATACATCAGGCTTTCCTGGTGGCTCAGCTGGTAAAGAATCTGCCTGCAATGTAGGAGACCTGAGCTTGATCCCTGGGGTGGGAAGATCCCCTGGAGGAGGCATGCCAACCCACTCCAGTATTCTTGCCTGGAGAATCCCATGGACGAAGGAGTCTGGAGGGCTACAGTCCATGGGGTCACAAAGAGTCAGACACGACTGAGCGACTACGCACAGCACAGCTGCCATACATCATGAAGTCTTTTTTTTTTTTTTTTAAGCTCTTTATTTTGTATTGGAGTATAGCCGATTAACAATGTTGCGATAGTTTCAGGTGAATAGTGAAGGGAGTCAGCCACACACATACTTGTTATCCATTCTCCCCCAGACTTCCTTTACATCTAGCCTGCCACATAACATCAAGCGGAGTTCCACATACTGTACAATAGTTCCTTGTTAGTTATCCATTTTAAATACAGCAGTGTGCACATGTCTATCCCAAACTACCTATCTATCCCTTCCCCTCCTCGGCCCCGTATCCTTCCCCTCAACAACCATAAGTTCATTCTCTAAGTCTGTGAGTCTGTTTCTGTTTTGTAAATAAGTTCATTTGAATCATTTCTTTTTAGATTCCACATTTAAGAAATGTCAGATATTTCTCCTCTGTCTGACTTACTTGACTCAGTATGACAATCCCCAGGTCCATCCACATTGCTGCAGAGATGTTTTGAAGTCTTTGGCCAAATAACCAGGGAAATGAATTTAATCTCAAGAGGCAGTCGTGTATCTAACCTCTGGCCATCAGATGATAACCCAATGATGGCAGACACATGGGCTGTCTTTCACGATTCAAAAACTCTAGATAACAGTACACAGGGAAAGTAGAGAGACTGCCTGCTTCACCTCTAAGTCACTTACTTCAGTATCCCCTACAACAGGGGACCCTAACCTCTAGGATCTAACGCCTGATGATCTGGGGTGGAGGTGATGTAATAACAATACAAATAAAGTGCACAATAAATATAACATGCTTGAATCACCCCCAAACCTCCCCCCACCCCCAACCCTAGTCCATGGAAACATTGTCTTCCATGAACCTGGTCTCTGATGCCGAAAAGGTTGGGGACTGCTGCCTACAACACATAACAGATTGCAATAGGATATTTGAGCAAATAGAAGAGGGTAGCAGTGTTCTGTAAACCTCTTGATATTTCACCAATAAACAGGGATTAAAAACATTCACACTTCATCAGGGAGGTTAAAGTAAGATAAAGCAGTGAGAATAAGAGTATTTGGATGAAATGGCTGTCAGCGGAGCAGACATCTACATTCTGCAGTGAATGTGGAATTTTTTTCCCAGCAGAAAGCCAGAGCCCTGCTGACATTTAGGAACCCTTAAGAAAAAAGTATGCTTGTCAGCATCAGTTCAGGCGGGTATTCAGTCAACTGTTTTAAAGGTGCTGAGAAGGAAGGAGGTGGTTTAGAAAGGATTTCTCAGCTCTGTTCCTTGCACAGCATGCTTTGTGTTTTTCAGAGGGACTGCCTTTGTGTTTCTATCTGCAGCATCTCACTGTAGGCTTAGGCAGTTGCTCACCTAGATGATATTTGCATTTTAAAAGAACATCCTCCCTCTAAGCTTAACCATTTGCACTGCACCTGGGCAGACCTGGCAGAGGAGCTCTGTTGTGGAGAACTCACTTAAGTACCCATTATTTTTTCTTTCACAAAATAATAAATGTAAAAATAATTAGCTCTATATACCAGTATTTATGAAGAAGCAAGTTTAATTAAAAAAAAAAGAATCAAGAGATGGCTGGGCACTTAAATAGCTCTTTAAATAATCAAAGTAACTTCATTTTTAGGAGATATGAAAAATGTAATAAATTATAAAAATGAATAACATTCATATTCCACTAGTTAGAGGCAATATCTATGAAGATTTTCTACATTTACTTCCAATTATCTATACATACCTTTCCATACACACA